TGATGGACATGAATCTTCTCAAATGAATGTCTTCTTGTCTATATCACCTATCACCTTGTGATGTGGGTTATCTCACTCCCTATTGATACCAAAAATTAGGAGATTTTGGACAATGGATGTGAAGCACTGAATTTACTCACCATTTATAAAATACTTTTTTGTCAAATTGATTACTAAGCAACTTGGGAACAGATTTAATCAGTCATACATTGCACAGTATCTTATGCAGAGGAAGTTAGACAATTTTAGCAAAACAAAGCAACCCACCAGACTCAGTGGGATTACTGGTGTCATAATCTCAATCAAATTCTCCTAATCTCAGGAGTCAATAAACCTGGGAAAAAGATAAAAAGTCTTAGATGCAAACACAGTCATAAAGACAGACCATGAGCATAATCCTTGAAAAATTGGCCTTTATCAAGCTGACAGACTTGTTTGTGACTTCTGGATCTTAAAGATATGTATATATGTCAAAGTCTCAGAAAATATTGAGATTTCTTCAAAGCTGATTTTGCCTTAATGAGAAGCTAACCAGTGAATGAGGGTAAGTGGAAAGGGAAGGGGGAGGTTTTTTGTGTGACTATTGGAGCCTCAGACATCTGTATATATATTCTTCCTCATTTGCAGCTGAGTATTTCAGCCTTTCTGCTTTTCTTTGTTCCTTTGTTATAAAAGTGTTGAGTTTCCAAATACATTATTTAAGATTAGTATGAAAATTTAATCTGAAGGAGGTTCTGGTTTTGGGATCCTAAAGTTTGCTATTACTTGGAAGATTTTTGTGCTGTTGTCATCTCCTCACTTCTCTTCTTCCTTATTTTTATTGTTATTTTTTCTCACTCATCATCTTCCATCAGCTGCAGTTATTGTAGGCAGACTTCTGTGACAAAAGAGACTCTTCAGGAAAGAGTTCTGAAAACGGTCAGAATAATTTTACAGTAAGAAAATCTCTGGGGGATTTCCTGTTTGTCTGTTCCTACTCACACACAAACAGAACAGTGGAAATCATTGAGAATTCATCTATTCCTATAGTGTAGCACTCCTTTTGCAGGTCTGGCTATGTGTACATTCATCTTATCCATATCTCAAAAATATACAGTGAGAGTCAGCACCAGAAGCTCACAATTTTTTTTTTGGAGCCACCTAAATATATTTTGCTGGTAGAAAGTGCCTTATTCTGGTAGTCAAGCAGAATAATTAGCTACTTAGTACTAAGCTCATCTGATTTTATACTGCATATAATCAAGGTCTTATGACTCCAAAATTTTAATTGCATGGAAACTCTGTAAGATGTTCTGTCTTAAAGTGATATCTATCCTTTGAAGTTGCAACAAGCTGACCATTCAAGAACCCATATGTTTTTCATGTAATAACACTAAACATTCACAGGATAAGTATATTTGGACAGGTATATTTTCCCAGAAGTAAAGGTTTTGAAGTCCTCAGCTTACAATGTGAGGTAGGTTGTCTTTTGCCTCTGGATTCCTTTGTCTCAATCAATTGACACAATGAAAATAAATATCAGACAGTAATTATCTTTATGAGGAATTTCACCATTTTTAGAAGGGAGGTATGAAAGTCTTATGTCATCTGCCTGACCCACCACTTCCTGAAAGAGAGCTTTTAAAAATTCTTCTCTGGTTGTTGTCTCTTGCAAATCAACAATCACCCTGGTTCTGCAGTGTTTAGCTTTTATCAGTGTAAATCTGGAGCATCTTCATTATTGTTAGCAAAAAATTAATATCCTGGAACCTAAAGGGAGATTTTACATCTTTCTACACAATCATTAAAAGACCCCATGAAAAGTAGTTTTGTAACTACAGTCCATCCCCCTGAATCCTTTAAAAAAGAATAGTGATAAAATTATTACAGAATAATCTGACAAGAATAACTCTGAAACTTTTAGCTGGTATACACTGCACTGGCATTATTAATTTCTGATCACCTAGCAAAGTACCTCACCCAAGTATACCTATGCAAGTCACTTTCATTTAATTTACCTTCTGAAGGACATGACAGCATCTGTACATTTTGAGATGTAATTGCTGTTATCCTTCAGTTTTTTGAAACAAACACAATCATCCTCCTGAATTACTGACTTTCCGTGACAATTTTTTGAGGTTGCATTTTTTTAAACTAATATCTTTCAGACAGGTCCTGAATAATGTAAGAGGATAAAGCCCACATGAAAAAAGTCAAGAATTCAGAAATGAAATTTTAGCTGTCAAACTTTAACTTAGTTGTTCTTTATTCCCTTAATATTCTTCAAACAAAATCCATCTCACTCTAGTTCATAAAGAACATTACCCTAGAGGACATACTACCTCTGACTTTTGTTTCAGGTTGATTTTTACGTTGGAGCATTGAACATTAAAAAGATCCACATTCTAAGCAGTTATTATGTGGAGCTTCTGCCAAATATGCGCTCCCTCCATTTGTTTGGTTTTTTTTAAACTGCCTATGTGAAAGAAAATAATTTCAGATCCAATCCTCAAGATGGATATACAAAGGTGAGGCAGCCTTTTTCTGCAGGGTTTCGAACGGAAAGACAAATTTCATGGAGGAGATGTCACCAGTGCTCTGATTTAGAAAAGTACCCAAACAACCATATACAAAGTAAAACATCAGTTCCTCTGGAAATATTTCTCAGTGTAACTTGTTTGCATATAAAAGTGTCTCAGAATGCCTGGTAATATGACAGAGCATGCTTCAAGTTTTAATTACTTCTAGGGAAGTTTAAGCTGTATTGAACTTGCTGTAGAAAAGCTGTAGAGATGGCTAGAAGACCAAAGTAATGACCCTACACACATGGCTTAGGGAGAGGGCTGAAGTATTGTGCTCAATTCTGGCTTGTGATTGTCAGCACACAACATATTTGTATCTGCAAACAAATTTTGGGATTTCATGGCTATTTAAATGGTGAGGATCAGAGAGGAAAGACCATTAAAACTACTTATCCAGCAATTTATTAGCAAGTTTTTAATGCTGAGCCAGAGCTAACACCTAATGACTTCTAATTCCTTCATTACTGTGCTGAAAGTGAACCAGACATGCAGCTGGCTTGGCAGCACTGGCTGAGCTCACCCCAGGGGAAATGCCAGATCTCACACTGGTGTATTTCATTAAGTTTAATCCCAATTCCTAAAACATTCAAGGGATAGTTTTTGAACTAAAAACACCTCAGAGTACTTGGTTCCCTTCTTTCGCTTCTGTTGCCTGCCACTTCCAGACTGCTCTCAGATAGGTAGTTGTAAGCATGAGGATGCTAAAGAGAGAGATATGCCAAGGTATCTATGTGGAAGTATTGTCATTGGCATCTAACAGGAAAGCTTTTACTTGCTTTTATTGTACTTCTGAAATTGAGAGGTGACCCAGGGAAGCTAAAAGTTGAAAGCACATGAAAGATCACAGATGGGACTGAAAATACTAACATTCATCTGAGATTTCCATTGGGACCAAAGGCTAGATAAGACTTAAGACCTCAGATTCAGGTAGTTCAACCCTCTCGAGGTATGTTGTCTGAGATAATCCAAATTCTTCCCAACTCCAACTCTAATTTATGTGTGCATTTGCTTTGTTTGTAGAACTTAATGACTTTTGAAACACAATATTTAGCAGGCAGTTTTAGCAAAATATCATGTGCACAGTTAGTGTGCATACATTGCAGCTGTACCAAGGCAACAAAATGTAACAGAAGCTCCCGTGAAAATACCTGTGTCTCTGAATGTCAATAATCTGCATACAAAAAGCCCCAAAGCACTCACTAACATGATAGATGGGGCATTAAGTGATGCATATGTAGTCCTTAAGACAATACAGAGAAGAAGCTTTAGAAGCATTATTCTCTCCTCTAATAAAAAGTTCAGCAAGCAAGGACACATCTCTTGCAGACTTTTAAGTCTATTATCTAAACAATTTTTAAAAAATCAGATTTGATGCAATTTAGCTGAAGCTCAGATTAATACAGGTTTAAATGGCCACATGCAAGAAAAGCTTCTGGTAAACCACTTCCCTTAATTGTCTAAAAAAGGATTGCTTAATTATTAAGCTAATGCAATTTTATTTCTGCAGGAAATGGATCCAAATCCATCAGAGTGGATAAAATATTTTAAGTGGTCTCTCAAAATTTAAAGACTAAAGTTGATAGAGACTTATCTGGTTTCTAAGTGCAGTTTCACTGCCTGGTGAGTAAGACTTCACTCACTTCACAGACTACCCTGGTGCTCAGAATCACACTACTTATGGGTACAGTCAAAGTTGTTCTTGCACAGTGTGAATGTAGCATGACACATGTTGTGCAAGAACACCCAGCTCTAAGAAAACAGAACCACTGGACCAGAGCTCTCCTGTTTCTGCCCAGAACTTCTAAGATGGGCAGAGCTGAGCATCAATATGGATATGGTAGCTGCTGATCTGTTAAAAAATAACCATGTCATTGGAGTGAGAATGAATGAATGGCATTAACTGCCATCCTTAGCTTTGGAACCTATACTAAGGACCTTAACAGAAGTATTTGATTATTAGCAGGATAAAAATTAGGACTGTGATTTCGAGAGGAGAGGTAACACATCCACTCCTTCCACATGTCCATCAGCAGAAGCTGACACTCAGGATCATCTCCTAGTGAACTACTAATATTGTTACCCTCTTAAGCTATCCTAAAGGGCGACTGCTGGGCAAATGTCTTTTGTGAATGTCACATGATGAATCTGTGGAAAAAAATTAAAAAGTTTTCTATGGGTTTTTCGACAGGAGACTTTAAAAGCAAAAGACATTTACTCTTCTGGAAGCAGCATCTTAGAACCATCCTTAGGTACGTTTTTCTGGTTCATCAGGCATTTTAGCTATTATAAGCTGAATGCCCATAAGGATTGAGTAATACAAGGTGGAATTTCTCAGCCTGTGTGGTCAGAGGTCGTAGCCTTTGCTTCATTTCCCTTTGCAGTGAGAGAGAATGCACATGCTGTTTTAAGACCTTTAGGGATTGGTATGCGGCATCCTACCTGCAATGGATTTGGTGAAGTAAGAGGAGATGGAAGGCCATGCCCTGGTGACTGGCTGGGTTTCTGAGGGGAGCTGGAGGACTGTGAGGCTGGAGGTGGCTGGCTCTGGCTCTGGGGCTGTGTTTGGTTCTGCTGAGGTGGTGCTGATGGCTGTGGCTGTGATTGCTGGCTCTGCTGGGTTGGCTGTGGAGTCTGTGCCTGCTGAGCTTGCTGCTGCTGCTGGCTTTGCTGCTGCTGCTGTTGATGCTGGAGCTGCTGAAGATGCTGAAGCTGTTGAAGCTGGGAGTTCAGGGATGAGGTAGCTGTGAATTGAAGAGAGGGAAGGGAGTTATACAAGTTTCAGTAAATACCTACTGCTTTAGAAGTATTCTGGATGAAATTCTGGTTCTGTTACTTTGAGAGGTACACTGCTTAGAGGACATCTGGCCCTAGACTTCAGGATGTGGGAAGAAATTATTCCCATCAATAATAGCCTGTGGTTCTGCCTGTGTAATTCTGTGGTAAAGAGCCAGACTTCCCTAGGGGCAATGAAAGCAAACCTTTGGAACGGCTAGAGATCTGCCCACAGGATGGGGCTCAGAGCTGACCAAGAGAGGCTCAGATAAGCTTATCAGTGAAGTCACTGGAAATATTCTCTGCCTATAGAAGAGAGGAACAGATTGTCACTGTACTTTTAAGTATAGCAAGAACTCATAACATGAACCAATGCTGTTATGTAAAGGAGGAGAAAGCCACAGTCATAAAATAAAGGATACTTTGCAAAGAACTTTGACACGTTATTATGCAGTAAGTTTCAGGAAATAAAACATTCAGTTGCAAAATTTCTTGTGCAATGCCTAGGGAGCAAAAATGCCTAATAAAATGTGTGTCTCTCTGAAATAAGGGCTGTTTCTTATAATTCACATTTAAAAGCTATACATTCCTTCTTGTAACTTGCCCTGCTCACTTACTCCAGATAGTTAAGACGTTGTGTTTTGCTAGCATATGCTTCAAACATGATGTTTGGAAGTGCGTGGCTCACATCAACCTGCTAGCACAAAGGGCAAACTTTATTTCCCAGAGACACTTTCAAACTGACTAGGACATTCATTAAATTCAGGAAGACAGGAAGTGTGTCATGGGGATGTCACTAAGGAAGAACAGCTTTAAGCTGCACCAAGAGCATCACAGAAGACTGATGCTGACTGGGATTATGCCCTGAATAAATCACCTCAGTCTCCAGACACAAAGATGTTAATCAACATCTTAAGGGTTGAATTAGTTAGCTGTAAGATCCCAAGAGAAACAACTTGCAAGGTCATTATGATATTTTTCTCTCTGTATATTGCTTTTCCAGCACCACCCTGTATTCTAATTTCTATCCAGAGAAGCAAAAGTAAATTGGGAATCAATTAAATTTCTTATTTTTAAAATGGCACTCAGATTTCACAGCCAGAAACTCTGTTGACCAAGTTATTTGTGGACTGGCAGATTAAGCCACGTCATCTCCACTTTCTTTTCATGCCAACATCCCTATTTCAACTTTCTAGATGTCCATGCCCTGAGGCTGAACCTGAGGTCTTGGTGCAACTTATGAAATCAGTGAGCCATAAACTGGAATAAGAAAAAGAAAAAAGAAAAGACAATGGAGAAGGATGAGGCAGAAAGGGTAAACCAGAAAAAGCTGTAAGAAGGAAAAGTACAAGACTAGATAGGAAGAGCTGTTGGCTCTCCATTCCCATACTCATAGCTGCTCAAAATTTTCTTCATTAGATGCAGGAATCAAACTAGAAATATGCTTTAACAAGAAGTATAGCCATGGGTATGTGACTTCAACAAAGAATCCTAATAATACAGAGGAGGACTGATAATACCAATATATTTCTATCAAGAAAATGACTCATACAAATTTTGTGTTTCAACACAAAGCAGAGCGACCTTCAGATTAAAAACATGCATGGTATCTCATGCAAAAGAAGTCACCCTGGAGAAGTAAGGGAATATTCCCATCAATTTCCCAATGAGAATTTGTACCTAAATGCCCCAAATCCAACAGGGTAGTGAGCGGAAATATAATCCAAGGCATGTGAGAACAAAGAAGGTGTGCATATAAGAAAGCAACTGTGCAGATTAATTAATGATTCATAGCATGAATCATCTCAGATGGCAAGGAAAACCATTCACCAATTCTATCTGTAGAGGCAGAAAGACCCTTACCATTCCCACAAGGAAAAAAGTAATCTAGACCAACTCTTTCTATTGCGCAGGCCATTCCTTCACCTATGATAGCTTAGCAGACTGGATGAACCACTGATAACCAGAACCAAGACTTCAAACTGACCCTTACTGCATCCACAGACTCCAACACAGAAATGAATTAAATGACATCCCACAGAAGCAGAAATTCTAATCCACATGGCTCAGAAATGAGGGACTGTTTTATATTATGTGTGCACAATTGGACAGAAGGAGACACAGCCTTCACATCTTGGACTATAAAAGCTTTGCTTTCAGTACTGGTCAATACTTGAATATTGGTGAAAGCAGGAGGATCAATATTCTACCATTCACTTTTGTACTGGAAATGAAAACATTCTTGCTGGGGTAGAAGATATTCCCTAAAGGATAATCTGATTAATTACTTCCTGGAAAAGTTTCCAAGTTTATTGTCTGCAACTGCACAAAATTATTCAAACACAAAATTATTCAAATAACTTCTTATGTTTTCATGTCATTCCCTTAAAAAGCCTCTCTGAAGCCCATCATCAGGCTGAGCTATAAATTGCATTGAAGTGGCTTAAAGAGGTATGATAGTTTAACATGCTGTTGCTAAACCAACAAGGAATTGGAAGAAGGACTGTTAGATCAGAAAAGGTGTTCTGAGAGCCACACAGTCGGTGTACCATGAAGCTGGATTTAGGGCTCTGGACCATGCCTGTGTCTGGTGTTCATGCTGCCAGATTGCACTGCCTCTCACAATGTGTGTACTATCCACAGCAGGGGTTGTGTCATATTATTGTTTGCAATCAAATCCAATCCAACTCCCAGAGCTGGCTTGCATAGCTCATCCATTATAAATAGTATACCTGTCTAGCATTTGTCACTTTCTGCAGAGCTTGGAGCCTGATGGAATTTCAGGTGGTACAACAGTGCTATGTCTGCATGTATAAAAGATAACATGCACTGCCTACCTCACAGGAATCTTTTTTATGACTTATTGGCTAACAGCTGGGTAAAACTTTGACATATTTTAGTGAAAAGTGCTACTTCCACAATTGCATTCAAGAATTAAAAAGGCTTGCAAAGAATTGCAGAAAGTTCTTTTCACGGTTAAAAAGTTCAACATAAAGTACATCACTTTAAAAGAGACACACAACTAAAAATGTATGCAAGCTATAAAAAAACTGTGAGGAAAATCCACAAAAGCTGTGTGACATTTCAACTGTCCCTAAAAAAAATATGTGTTGGATATATACCAGGTATCCAAGATGATGGTAAATATAACTCATATCTATGAAGAAACAATGGGTGCATGTGGTTTCAAAACCTATGGTTCAACAAACTTCTTGCTTGCTGTGGTGTTGTGGCAGACTTTCCATGAGATCACCCCACAGTTTATGATCCTACTTTAAGCAGATTATATTTACTCATGGTATCAAAGCATTTGCATTAGAATAAGAGACATGGAGTTAATTGGTGGAAAACAATTTTCAAGAGGCAGTGAAAGCAAACTTTCTGATCTCCTAGGTCATCTACTGCAATATTTGTCACAGATCTCAGGCTACTTTGTGGATTGGACAAAGTTACGACCTAAGGTATATACTCCTCCTTGACTTTCTTTGGGGATACCTCAGGCATAGTGTTGCCATGCATTTACAATATTCACACAAAATGTGTCATTTCATATTCTATTCCTCTGCTGGTTACCTACACAGGAAACTAAAATGAAATGAAAATGCCCTTCTGCCAAATAGAGTGTTACAATGGGGAAAATACACCTCTGAGGCAACCATGCTGAAAGAAGCAGTCTGATCCATGACAGGGGGATGAGTGAAGCTTTGTTGTAGTGGGCAAACTGAAGAGGCTCTGTCTTCATTTCCCAAGCCTGATTAATGGAAAATAGTGGCAATTGTCTCCACTGGCTAACATATTGTGACATAAGTAGGGGAATATCCCTGGTTTTATTTTAGGGTTAAAACATATGTTTTAAAGTTTAATCACGATTCTCCAAAAAGCAAGGAACATAAGTGTGCTCACAAATGTTTATATAATGAAAACAATTTAAAATTAGGACTCCTTTTTCACCTTTCCTCACAATATAAATTCAGATTCTTAAGACCTCTACAGCACTTGGCAGAAGATCAAATTAATATTCAGAGATTCAAATTATATCTAGAATCTGCTCTTGTGGATAACCTTCATATAAATTCTGATTTATTTTGTTAATGTTTTCTGCATGTTTGTTTCTGTGTAAAGAGGAAGCAGGGATAGGAGGAATAAGAAACAATTTTAGCTTACAAACAGTTGTGCCACTCTAGCTTCTCTCCTCCTATTTATGTAATTGCATAGTTGTTCTTCAGTGCCTTGATACAATGTACAATGGACTAAAAAGAAGAAAATCATACATTAAACCTCTTCCTATTTGACTGAGCACAGAACTTGACTCCTGCCATTTCAAGGGCTTAATGCCTTTTTCCACTTCCCCTGTAATGGAGAATGGATTTGCATTGCCTTAAACTGAAAAGTGTAACTAACTTTAGCATCTGGACTTGCGTTTGAACTGACATGGCTCGCTTTTTTTTCCACCGTGTTATTTCTCTTCTAATGAGGTTTATGCCTTTCCTTTCTTTGAAACAGATTTCTAAAGATTGAATACACACAGTGAACAATCTAATGCAAGCCCGCATTTACATTCTTTCCCCCCTGGGTAATGAGGGGTAGGTTAGCCAAATACCCGTGTTTTTCCATATGCTCGGATTTTCCTTTTGAGAGTAAAATGTGAGTTCTTTTAAATATGTTAGCATCCTCTTTGTGAAAAAAAAAATCCCTGAAGGGTTGCACTTGTGGCTGAAGACATTAGTAATCGGATACAGAGCATATTCTTTCTAAGTCACTAGCTCAAATTCAGCCTAGGTCAATATAAGGAACAAAAGTCATCACACTTTAATGGTGCTTTTGCATGTTTTCTAACATACAGAAAATGTATTCAATGTATAGAAGTCTTATTCATACACAAATACCCACAGAGAGCCTGCCTGCATTACAAGTTTGCCACAGTCAAGGTAATAAATTGATGGTCTCACAGCATCTAATGAGGAAGATC